GCCCTCGGTGGCTGCTTTAGAGTCGGTTTATGAATATGGCTTCTATATGAAACTAGACTTTATTTAATACAGCAAGCCTCCCCTGCACACTATAAGAAGTCTGACAAATGCGACACCCTTCAGCGACTTGCAATGACTTTCTGCCCAATCTTCTCACTGGATTGTCACAGAGCCCCCAAATGGTACACAGCTGTGCCTAAGCCCATTCTACAGCTGGGAAAACTAAAGGTTGGGGAGACTACACAGCTCATCTGAGGTCCAGAAGCTGCAATCTATGTGAAGGAGAAATGGTCTGATGCCTTCTAGGTGAGGAACCCACCAAGCAGTAGGGTGAGGGGCGGGGAGTTAGAGAAGGACCCCAAATAACCATGTTGTGCCAAAGAACTAGTTTGAGTCATGTCTGTCTTCTACCTATGCCAGCAGGCAGACCTGTCTCAGGCTGAGCCCAGGACGTTGCCTAAAAAGTAATTTCGCTGGAGATACACCTTCAGACAGTGAGTCACACATGAGAAGATTTTGTTTCTCGAGGATCTCTATCTGGGGTGCCACACGCACCCCATCCTCCCCATCTGAATGGCTCCTCCTTCACACACCCTGATTACCTGCATCTCAACCGCAGATTAACACACCCTTAGCTCTACTCGCTGGGTTAAAAGGAAAATGTGGCTCCACCCCCTGTGCCTGGCCTGGCTAGCTCTGCCATGGAGTCTTCAGCAGCCCCCTGGCACACCTGTGCCTGCCTCAGTTTCCCCAGAAGGTCAGGTGCAAATGGGACTCTGCTGTGTGGGGTCCCTCCTTGTTTTGAGTGGTGGCAGAACACAAGCAACCAGCAGCACAACTCCTGTGACCCCTGGCACCTGTTCAGAGCATCCTCAGTTGCAGCCTCTCCAGAGGCCCTGCACCAGCTGAGGCTGCAGGACACAGAAGGCACAGAAGACTGCTGGCAGGCTTCAATGATGGTCACGGATGCACCTGGATTCAATCCATGGTCATGGATTCAATCCAGGCTGGCATGGGGTGAGGGGTTGGGGAGAGGTACACATCCCATGGGATTAGGGCCTGGTTATTTCTTGTCTTTGGGCCTTAGTTTCCAAAGTAAGAAACTAAGAGAAGGAAGTAAGATCCAGGAGGAATTGGCAATGTACACACAGCAGGCACATGGCAAGCACTGGCTACGCCACCCTGCTCCCCCCGATGTGCTATCTTGCAGTGAGGATACCCTCCCTTACTTCCCTGATGAGGGAATCAGGGCTCCCAGGTCAGGTGCAGACCCTGCTTCTCCAGCTTGCCTGCTCAGCCTGTAGCCTCTCCTTGTGTGCAGGATCCACCTGCTCCCCTCACCAGCGGCACCACCAAGCCATGGAGTCAGGAAGACTCACTTTTCCAATACTTACTTCCAGACATCCTTTGGCTACACATCGAGGGGAAGGAGGCCATTTCTGGATTTACCTGTGGCCTTATAAAATGTGGCCATGCAGACTTGCACAGGGTGACTCACACCAGGCCACAGTGGGACCCAGCTCTGGAAGGCAGCTGTCCCTTGCACGTTGTGGTGGGAGAGTTGGGGGAGGGCTGGTGGACTGGCAGCTTGGTGGACAGAGCCTGTGGGGAATGGTCTAACCGGCTGTGAGTCCTTAGGAGGCAGAGACTGGGCTCTGACAAGCCACAGGGGTTTAGCTGAGGTCACACCAACCTCTTACAGGGTGAATGAGTGGGAAACACTCAGGGCCCTGGAAGAACACATAGATGTCTCATTCAGCAGTCTGCAACCTCTGGGAGAAGTGGAGGGTTGTCAGTTCCAAGGAACGAAGACACCGCACAGTCCAGAATGGCTGTTTTACTCATGGCTGGAGGGTGAGAAATCTAAGGCTGCGGACAGACTGGGCATCAACACCTACCTGTGCATGTGCTGGGCTGCATTCTGAAGCAGAGCCCATGGGCCCCCTCCCCAGATGCAAGACAAGTGGCAAAGAAGGAGGGTACTGTGGCAGCACAGGTGGAGCCTGGCTGTACTCCTGCAGCTGGTGGCAGGGCCAGCCTCCTGTTGCCAACCCTGCCTCGCCAGAGCTTCTGCCTGCAAACCCTTGAGGGGTGAGCAGCTCATGACACATTCGGAAATGCTGTCCACGGACCTGGGCTGGCAAGCCTGGCCTGGCCCACGGGGCCCTCTCACAAGCTCTGCCCTTGGGAACTGTGAACACATTCCCCAGGATCCCTCACCCAGCTTAAACACACTGAATCAGAGAACACGAGGGTTAAGCACAGAAGGGGATGTTTTTGCCCAGGTAAATTCACCCCATGGATCCCATACCCCAGGCTGCCCAGTCCCAGAAGCTGAGAGGGACTGAGAGGCATTTCTAATAGGTACAGCTGATGTAGTAAGGTCAGGGCCCAACCAGGCCCTCCTTAACCATACAGGCGACTTGTTGAAGCAGGAGTATCCATGTATGTGTACACACACACCCACTGATGCAGGTGGGAACTCTGGCCTACATTCCTGAGTAACTGCACTGCTGGGTGAATACACAGGGCCAGCAAGACACTTTTGCAAGCCCAGCAAGCTGTTGCCAGCCATCCTTACTGTACCAGCCTGGGAGGCCTTTCAACCTCTCATGTTCTGCTACTAAGGGGATGGGAACTTGTGAAGATGCATCCTACCTGCCCATGTTGTGCCCCATCACGCTGGGGGAGGACACGGCCATGACTAGTGGCCAGTGCGAGCATGGCATCCCTCCAGCATGGTGGACTGAGTGGAGCCAGAAGCAGCAGGTATGAAAGGAAGGGACAGGGACGGGAGCCTGCATCTGTCTTCTCTCAACAGCCCAGGATGGCTGATTCATGATGACACAGGGGAGCAGTAACCATCGATGCTGAACCAAGGCCGCAGTGCCCACTGTGGGCTCAGAAATTAGTCTTAGGTTCTACTGGGCAGAAGGGGGCAGGTCTGGCCTGAGAAGTTTTGGAAAGATGTGGTCCTCGAGGGTAGGTGCACACACACACACCCTACCCCCAGCCCCTACCTGGGCATTTTGCTAAAACATGTTCAGTGTGCTGAGGTAGGCCACTGCTTGCGACATTGGCATCCCTTATCTGAAGGCCAGTTTTATTCCCAACTGTTTGGGTTCCTTTTCACCCTTAGGGGTTATCTTGGTGTAAGGATTCTGTGTGTCACTCTTGAAAATAAATAAAAGAAAATAAATAAAAAAGATAGCAACCCAGACTAACTCTACACAGGTATAGGGATCTGAACCTTGCTCTTGTCCCCAGCTCTTAAGGGGAGTGGATGCTGCTGGTGCAGTTTCCACGCTTTGAACAGCAAAACAGACACAAGCTAAGAGCACCCCAGGGTGATCTACGGCTGGCTGGTTCATGCCTGGGTAAGCACCCACACCTGCTGCTCTCACGGCACAGCCCTTGGCCCTCAGTGTTTGTAGGAGCCAGTCAGCCCTTTCAGCAAATGGCTCTTCCCAGGCCTCCCAGGCCTGGAGGGAACTGACTTCTTATCCATCAGCCAGGGGCACATGGAGTCCAGTACCATGCCCGAGCCAGAACCTCAAGCCACTGCGTGGAGGAGGTGGTGTGAGACCTTGATTCTGGCTCTCCACCAGGTGCTAAGGATGTGGTGAGGTTAATGAGATGCAGTGTCCCTGGGGAGCCTGCGGCCTGACAGGTGATAGCAACACCTACAGAACTAATCTTGATGTGGTGCAAGAGATGTTCCACCAGTGATGTGTGTGGCAAACTCGATGGGGCAGTGGGGAGGGGTAGGTGAGAAAGCCACTGAAGCTGTGGTGCGATGGCTATGTTTCAGCTGGCTCTGATAGCAGGTATGGAGTTGTCCCGGGTGGCGGGAGGCAGAGAAGGCTGTTTCATGGGACGGGAACGCGGGCTTTGCATAGGACATGCTGTGTCCAGTGACATGTCTGAGGCAGGACAGCTCAGCTGATAATGTAGGGGCTCAGGACTGAGCCAGGGTTCACTGCTGGGTGTTGGAAAGAGAAGATGGGTCTAGCTGTCTATGAACAAAGGGCAGATTCAAGTCCAAGTGTATTTTATGGGAGCTTCAGCGTGGTGAGAATTAATTGGTTGCTGACTTCTGTCAGGCCCCAAATCTCAAGTGAACAAACACATGTTTGCATGTGGCTTGCTGTCTCCCAGCATTAATCATGAACACTTTCCTAGGCCATCCTGTTCAGTGGCTGCGCACGGATACACAGACACCCAGCAAAGTTACCTCTCCCAGTGGACACTTGGGCTGTATCTTATCTTTCAGGATCACACTCTCCACCTTGTCTGACTCTCAGACCATAGTCTGTGCACAGATGTGAAAGAGGAGATCAGGTCTGTGGCGTGGAAGCACAGATGAACTATGTGGGACCCCTGTGGCTAGGCCACAGGGCCAGAAGGGTTGCATGAGAGTGATTGTGGCAGAATGATGGACACTCAGCTTCCAGAAAGCCTCTTGGAGAGATGTGTGCATCTCTTGATGGGTTCTTGGCTAGGGGAGGGCCAGGCTCAACCTCTTAAGGGCAGCATGCCAAAGCTGCTGGCTCCTGCTGGAGAGGCGGAGCCAGGAACCATATCCTGTAAGCTGGGCTGGGTTGCCTGAGTCAAGCTGGCCCAGGGTGGGACTGTCCAGTCTCCTTCCAGCTCAGTAGGAGCTGCAGTGTAGACTAGGGTTTCTCTTGGTTTCTTAGAAAGCTCAGTCTGAACTCTGGATGTGGCAGAGTAAGGATGTCATTTTCTGTAGGACCAAGAGAGTGAAGAAGGATGACAGCAGCTGGGCCCTGCAGAAGGGACTTGGGATCCTGCAGGGCAGAAACCTGGAGCCTCTCCACGGCCTGGCACCCTCTGAGACCTATGTCATTTTTGAGGGGACCCCAGCTAGAATGGCTGGCTGGTCAAAGCCCCCAGGGTCTGTTGCAGGGCAGGGGGCGACTGTTGCCCATGTATGCTTCCTTTACCCATGGAGCACGCTGAGCAGGGCAAGGGTTCCCTACCTGCCAGGGCAGGGAGGGTGACCCGGTTCCACTCCCAGGGCTGGTCATACTCGTCGGCAGGCCTGTCATCATCCTGGGGCAGCTTGCTCTCGCGCAGCCGGGGACTGACGGTGCTCTCTGAGTCCGAGTCGACACTCTGGCCTTCGGGCTCATAAGGGGTGTCGTACAGTTGGATGCCTCTGTGCTGGGAGCGGACGCTTTCCTGCCGCTGGAATTCTGCGGGCCGACAAGGAAGGAAGCAGAGATGCCATTGGGTGTGTAGCACGCGCTTCCTCCCCGGGGATCCCCACCACGGCACGCCCGCCCACGAGCTCAGAGACGCTGGCCAGGGAGGCGAGGGCAGCATCCTGCTCTGCTGGGCAAAGCTTGTGCACAAACAGTACAGGCTCTGGGCTCTGCCCGCATGTACCCACTGAGATCAGTCATTTCAATTTCTCTCTCTTTAAATGTTCACTTACATAAACTGAAAGCAAGTTTCCACCTGCTGGTTCGTTTCCCCAAACGCCCGAAGTATCTGCGGCTGGGCCAGGCCCAAGCCTGAATGCAGCCTGGAACTCTATCTGGGTTTCCCACATAGGTGGCAGTGACTCAAGTACTCGAGCTGTCACCTGTTGCCTTCTAGGGACCTGGAGAGTAAGCCAAGTAGCTGGGTAGGACTTTAACTGGCACTCCATTACAGGATGCTGGCATCTCAAGTAGCACCTCCACCCACTGTGATGCTGGTCCCTAACCTAAGTTTTAAAGGGCAGTGCCCAGACATGAATATGAAGCCACAGATGTGTTCTTACAACCTCCCAGTCCCCAGCTGCACAACCAGCATACAGGGCCAACTGATATTCTCTCTCTCTCTCTCTCTCTCTCTCTCACACACACACACACACACACACACTTTTCAAAGAACCAACAAGCAAGGGTCTCCCTAGAAGGATCCCAGATGGTGCCTTTCTCCCTTGTGAAGCCCAAACAATCTTCCCCTGCCTTTCAACCTGTCCTAGAGCCTGTCCTAACCAGCCTGTCATCTAGCTGGACCCACACATTCGGGAACTTCTGAGAGAGGAAGGGGCTCCTGTAGTCTTCCAGAGAGGATGCCGAGGCCGGGCTTAGGTGGGCTAGAGGATGACCACCCAGCTGGGCCAGGCCCCAGACATCTGTATTGGCTGCTGCTTAGTCCATGAATGGCAACAGTGCTGGAAATAGAGAAACTAGGATGTGCCATCAGGGGCTTTCTGGGTAGAGGGTGAGTTGACTCCCTGTGGGTTGTGGACACACGTGTGCAGGAACTCCGTGTTGGAGACACGGGGAAGGTGGGCTGTCCAGATTACTCACAGAGAGCCCACAGGGACCCCAGCCACCAGGTTGCAGGAAAAGGATGGCCAGAGAGCTGACAAGAGGGGGTTCTGCATGCCCTGCAGGAGGACTAGGCAAGCCAAGGCAGTACCAACGGGAAGAACACGCTGGATGCCTCCTTGAGGCTTCGGAGAAGCAAAACACTCCTAACCACATTCACCGTTTTGGCTCTGTTGGAGGGCATAATTTAGTGGCCTGGATACATCTATGAAGTTGCACAACCACAGCTACTCTCTGCCTTTTGCACTTGGTCATCTTCCAAGCGGAAACCCTGCATCACAGAACACTGAGCTTCCTGGTGCCGGACACCCTGCACGCTGGCCTGTGCTCTCCCACTCTGACCGACCTGGGTGCCTCTAACAGCTGCAGCTGCTATGGGCTCGTTCCACTTAGCATGATGCACCCCAGTCTCTGGCATGTTGGAGCACCATGTGTGGTGTGGCATCCTTCCCAAGGCTGGGGAGCATCCTGCCACACAGGTATTTGTTGCCCACCCATGCCATGACACGCAGTACAAGGAGGTGAGATCTGATAGACAGTGGTGGGGGAGGAAGGGTAGGCCCATCTCCTTCCTCAGCCAGGAATCCTGAAGGCGTAAGGACCAGGCAGAAACCCACTCGCACCTTGAGGAGCAGCTCACACAAGCTAGGAAGGAAGGACACAGCCCCTCCAGGGCAGAGCAGGCGCTGCTTTCAGGCTTTGTGCTCCAAGGCCAGCTTATGGGGCGTACAAGAAGCCCAGCCTTGGTGAAACAACAGAGGTGCCGCACAGGCAAAGAATGAATGAGAACAAAAACCACTTAGTGGGGCCTGCTAGGAGGGGCCTGGGGCTCTCTCCTGATGAAAAGCCCCTCACAGCGGGCTTGGGGGTGGGGCCAGATCCTTTCTTTGGCAAAGAATAATTTTTTTCTCTCTAGATGGAGTATAGAGAGAAAAACTTTGCTACCTACCAGATTCTCAGAAACCCTAAAACGAAATATCTGTGAGGAGGTGTTTCAGACATTGGCAAAGCATGACTTCTATTGGGTTGTGTGAGACACCTGGGATGGTTGGCACAGAGGGAGGGAGAGGCGATGAGGAGAAAGGGCCACAAGGTAGAACTTTGCTACACTAAGGTGAAGACCAACTGGTAAGTGCCATGGACAAGGCTGTAGGGACCCAGTGCTGTGGTGCAGGTATGTTAAGCTGCCACCTGTGTGTTCATTTGTCATCCCAAATGAACATTTATTTGAGTCCTGGCTGTTCTACTTCTGATCCAGCTTGCTGCTGAAGGCCTGGGAAAGCAGCAGGGGATGGTCCAAGTGTTTGGGCCTCTGCCATCCACATGAGAGACCCAGAAGAAGCTCCTGGTTCTTGGCTCCAGCCTGGCCCAGCCTTGGCCATTGTGGACAACTTGGCAGTGACCTCTGTCTCTGTGTGTCTCTCCTTCTCTGTAACTGCCTTTCAAGTAAATCTTAAAAATCCCAAACCCAAACCAGCCCACAACAGTGTAAATTCCTAAGTCTACCAAACTGTTGGGCTGGCTCTTGCTGTTGGTGTGGGTCACCCCTGGCCTGGAAGCATTAGCTGCCATCTGGGGGCGGTGGGCTGTAGGCCGCAGGTGGACAGCTGGCAGGGGCCTGCCCTGGGTGAATCACCTTCCTGTTCACAAGCACCGTACAGCAGCTCACACACGCACACTTTCCAGAGCCCTGTCTGCAGGAGCACTACTGCTGCTGGCTCTCGTTCCAAACGCCTGCCGGTCATGGGTAGGATGGACAGCCGGAAGCTACTCTTGACCCCAAACTGTAGTGTGTGGTGGAAAGTCCCTGACAGCTGTGAGAAGGCATGGTGTTCAGAGGAGGTGAGGATCCTGGACAAAAGGCATCCCAGGCAGCAGATGAGCTGTGACGTCCCACACCTCTCACCCACAATTTACTGTTGCAGGAGCATCTGTGCCTTTCTGAAGCTGAGCCAGGCTGCTAACGCGTGCAAGCGAGCGCAGCACGGCGAGAACGGAAACCATTCAACCCAGCCTCCTTCCCCTTGTATTACACAGTGAATTGGAATTTTCATTAAGGCCTTGACAATAGTCAACAGTTAAGTAAATGATGGTATGTTAACTGGATGGAATATTAAGCAGCCATTAAGATGACAAATCAGAAGATTATGTAGCTCCAACGGCCGAGCGTGCATGAAATTATGCAGAGCTGAAAAAGCAAAGCGCCGGGACTGTTTATGCGACCTGGGCAAAGCATCTCGTGCAGGTTTTCAGGATACATCCTGCCCTGTCACAGCTACACTCTGATGACAGCAACACAGTAAATCCAGACACAGGAATAGGGGCTGTAGGCTCGCAGCAGCGTTGCAGACAGCCACTGCATGCTGGGGAAGGGATGAGGGCCTTGTTATTTCTGAAAATTGTTTTTAAATAATGAATAAAGATACTTGGAAGAGGAAAGACTGTAATTAAGGCAGAAACACATGAAAGTAAATATGATTTCCTGCTGGGAGGCCTTGCGGGAGCCATGCAGCTTTAGGAAGCAGCTGCCACTCCCTGGGGAAACGGCCTGTCCAAGCGGCAGCTCCCCTCCCAGGAGAGGCTGGCCAGAGCCCTGGGAAGCCGAGGGCCACCCTCCCAGGCCCGCTCGGCAGCCCTCACTGTCTCTGGCCTAATGACCAGGCCCATCCCCCTTATTAGCCAGGCTGATTCATGATGGTCCAATAGGGGAGCTGGGGGGCCAGATGTTTTAAGTCATAGGTTCCTGGGGCCTTGCTATCTATGCATTTATGGAAAGTGCCCTTTACTCTCGGGGTGGCAGGCTGTGATTTCATGCCTCTTAGGCAGCAAGCAGAAACATTAAATTGACAGGGTGGGGATTTCCGCTGAACTCGGGAGCACAAAAGGGTTTCAAGTGGAACGGCGTGTGGAGCAAGGACAGAAGAATGGGGCCTTTTCCTCAGAATCGGAGAAGGCAGGGAAGGCCTGGGCACACTCACTGTGAGGGCCAGGCAGGTGCGCGGCCCACAGACTGCTGCCGGGAATGGGTCATGAGCTGAATGAGGGACTCTGCCCTCACAGTCCCCTCCACCCCCGATGATGAGGCATCTGTGACAATAGATGAGCCTGCACTTTGACACAGCATCACCATTCGGAGTCACAGTGGTCACCAGCGACTCCGGGTACGCATGGAATGCCATGTGTCCACCCTCACAGTGTCTCACAGCAGCCACCCCACCCTGAGACCCTTGTGAGCCACCTCTTCCTCCCTTGCCCCAACACCTGCAATCACTGCTTCTTTCCTGATCATTAAAAAATACATTTCAAATGTCCATATGGGATCCCGGTGCATGCAAGGTGAGGACTTTAGCCATCAGGCTACTGTTCTGGGCCCTTTCCTGAACATCTTACAGGCAGAATGACACCAAACACAGATTTCCAGGTCGACTTTTTCCTCTTCATCATATGATTTTAGTTTCTCCTATGTCTCTTCATGCTTTGATAGTTTATTTTTTTTTAAAGATTTATTTTTATTTTTTTATTGGAAAGGCGGACATACAGAGAGGAGAGACAGAGAAGAAGATCTTCCATCCGATGATTCACTCCCCAAGTGAGCACAACGGCCGATGCTATGCTGATCCAAAGCCAGGAGCCTCTTCCGGGTATCCCACACGGGTGCAGGTTCCCAAAGCTTTGGGCCGTCCTCGACTGCCTTCCCGGGCTACAGGCAGGGAGCTGGATGGGAAGCAGGGCTGCCGGGATTAGAACCGGCGCCCATATGGGACATCGGGCGTTCAAGGCGAGGACCTTAAACACTGTGCCACTGTGCCGGGCCCGATAGTTCATTTTTAAAAAGTATCAATTTAGGGTCCAGGGCTGTGACATAGTGC